ATCCAAGGGAAATAAAAACCACAGGAGAATGATCACAGTTATGCTTGTTTAAGGATAATTGGATGACCCTCGAGTGATTCTGCTTTTGCTTCATTAGTGTGCGGTACATTCTGCAAATTGAAGAGGCTGTCAGAAATGCTAGTAGCTAGAAAGGCTAACACTTTACTTGCCTAGAGCAAAGCATCTTTGGTAATTACCAGAGGACTGACAGTTTGTATGGCACGAAACCCCCGTGGTACCTGGGGTAATGAGGACCCATACAGCTACCGCTATTCAGCAGGAGAAAGGAAATTTTAAAGAATTCAGAGATATCCTTTCACATTAATTCCTGGCCTCTGAATTTCTTTCCAATCTCTTTCAAGTAATAATTCATGCCAACAGCAGCTTAATAAAAAGCCTACGGTAAACTAGAGTGGCCAGTACATAAAGTGCCTATGCTCCTTTTTTAAAAGGAAGTAGGGGAGGTGCTCATACCCATAAATCCTAGCTACTCAGGAGGCTGTGATCTGAGCAGCTCAAAGCCAGTCCGGGAAGTCTGCGCAACTCTTACCTCCAATTTACCACTGAAAAACCCAGAAGTGGAAGTGTGGCTCAAGTGGTAGAGCACTAGACTTGTACAAAGAAGTTCAGGGGCAGTGCTCAGACCATGAGTTCAAGCCCTAGGACTGGTGGGAAAAAAGGGGGGGTGGGGGAGAGGGAAGGGAAGTCCAGGGGCTTGAAGCTTTTCTCTGAGCTATAAGTAGATTCAGATGAAATCTTGGACATGTTTGGCATGTGATTTTTTTTTCCTTTAGTATGGACAAATTTGAATTTCTAGGTTGAGTTCAGTGGATGATTCACAGAAGGAGTATTAACAAAGTCCTGACGTGATGTTAATGTTCAGTCCTTCTGAATACATAGGGTAGAGACACAGCAAGCAAAATGAGAAATGGATCTCCCCTTTGCTTTGGCAGTCATTTTAAACTTTTCTTTCCTTCGTTATTTCCTACTATGAGAAGAGTATGCACGGTTGGCTGGTTGCACTTCAGAACTGCAAGAGCTTCAGTGACTTCTAAGGCATTGCTAGGAGCTGCGTGTGGCCTGAGCGTCTTGGGAGGTGCACATGTTGAGCTTCGGAGGATGTGATGTCAGGAGGTGTGGTGAGATCCAGGGGGATCCTTTGGTGCTGGGGGCGCTGGCCTTGAAGGAATGCAAGTAGCTCTTGGGGGAGGCTGAGCTGGTTCCTGTGTGAGCAGGCAGTTCCCTGGGCAGCCTGGCCCCATACAGAGGAGCAGCCCTCTCTGGCTTCATATCTGGGTACTCACCACCATTATGTCCTCACTAGAAGGGAAATCAATGGGGCCACCCAATTGTGGTCATTCTGCCTCCCAAACTGGGAGGTAATTAAACCTTTGTTCTTTACAAGGTGTCCTGCCTCTGACATTTCATGATAACAACAGACCGAGACAATGATCACGATTCAATTCTTGTGACGATCTTCTTCCATCAGTCCTTCCCTTTCCTCATCTGTGGGCAATTCCTGGCCAAGCAGACCACATGCTACCCCTGAGTCTGACTCCTCATGTTGAGATCTGACCAGAACCATAGGTTGCAAATGGTCCAGGGCCACTTACCTGCCATTGGCTAGAAACTGTGTTGAGTTGGGTGAGAAATCAGAACTGAGCAGAAGCTTTAGATGTTTAACCACTGCCTCCTGACATTTACGTAACCGGGTAACATAATACAAATTTAACTCTTGAAAGTAGGTGGATAATGAAACACGCCATGAAATCAGCCCTGTTCACTTTGACCCTGGTGCAATGCTAGGCCTGAGAGTTGTCTGTGGCTCCCTTGTTGTTAGCTGTTTAACCCATGCAACTTTCCAAACTTCTCTGAGTCCATGTCACCTTCTTTGTGTATAAAAGTAGTTATGGCAGTGGCGGCTGAAGGAGGTACTGTCCTCCTCAGTGGAGTGCTTGGCAGCAGACAAGGGGCAGCGAGCATTGTCACTGTCAGTTCAGATGTCTGGTCTCCCTGGGAAACTAGTGGGGAACCCAAGACCCTTCTGAGTACGTCAGTCTCACTGTGCTGTCTCGTGGGTAGCAGGGTGACATTTCTTGGTGTCCTTCCTGTGCCCCCAGGCAGGCAGACCCACACAAGCACAGCAGCCTTTCTGCACAGAATGAAGCATGGTTTCAACTTCGTTCAGCTGTGACCTTGACTAAGTGCTCCAGTTGAATGAAAAAGTGGAGGCGAGGAAAGGCAGCCAAGCCCCATCTTTTGTGGGGATGGTGGCTTAGGGGAAAAAAAGACAAGAAAAAGCTGGGTGCGGGGGGGGTGGTGGCTCACGCCTGTCATCCTAGCTATTCAGGAGGCTGAGATCTGAGGATCGCAGTTCAAAGCCAGCCCAGGCAGGAAAGTCCATGAGACTCTTACCTCCAATAAACAACTAGAACACCAGAAGTGGTGCTCGCCTTGAGCTGAAGAGCTGAGGGACAGTGCCTAGGCCCAGAGTTCAGGCTCCATGCCCCTTGATGGCATGGGAAGCCCCTGGCAGGGGCCCTGGCCCTGAGAGGTGGCCTCGACCCCTTCGGACCTTGCACGGTTACCGGGCAATCTTCCACAGCTCGGAGCCTGGGATCCAAAGGGAGAGGCCTGCTCCAGGCGGGGCAGAGGCCTCAGCCACATCTCATTTTATGGCTGAGCAGATCAGCCGCAGGAGGGGGAGGGCACAGAGCAGCCCAGCACCCCCCCTCCCCCGGGGTGTGAGGCACGGAGGCCAGCCCAGCTTCCACACAAGAGGCTAGGAGGGGAGCCACAGGAAATAGGGAGGGGGTGAGGGGAACAGCCTGAACCTTCGCCTAGTGTCTGCAGCACCCAGGCCAAAGATTACCTTATTTCATTTACCAGCTGAAGCCAGCTGCCTGGCTTGAGAAAGGTTGGTTCTCTGGCACAGAGTCTCTTCCACCCTTGAAAAAACTGGACTGCCCTTTGTGTGCCAAGCGTCTTGAACTCAACTAGGACACGCAGTAAACTTACAAAACTGCCTGCAGAAAGCCTTGGTGGGACAAAGTTAACACCCAAAGCCAGCACGGGAGCAGGGGGACGACTCCCCTCGTCTCCCACTGAACAGTCCGTTAGCGTGGAGGGCAAGGGAGCACCGCCAGGAGTCCAAGCATGGGGCCGCAGGGCCGGGCTGCAGGACCGGGAGCTGCCCACTAAGCACATGTTTCTAGAACGTCTTCCCGGGGCTTCGTGGCATGGCCCAGCCCTGCCGCAGTATTTCCATTTCCATGAAGGAGGAGGATGGGCCCCAAATAGTGGAAAGAAAGGCCAGCTCTCTTCCCAGCCTCTGCGTGGGCGTGGGTAATTTCTCCACCAGCTGAAAGGAGAGTTGAGGCCCCGGAACTCATTTCCTTCTTTCTTCATTTTCAGAACTGGTTTTCTTGGTGGTAACTGGGGTTTGAACTCGGGGCCTTGTGCTGCTGGGCAGGTGTGCCACCACTTGTGCCGCAGCCCCAGATCTCTTCTGAATTAGTGACGTTTCAGAAAGGCTCTTGCTTTTTAGCTTGGGGGTCAGCCTCAGACCATGGTCTTTTTAGTTGGTACTGTAGGCCCATACTACCATATCTGGCTTATTTGTTCATACAGGATCTTATTACCTTTTTGAACACGCGCGCACACACACACATATACACACCCCGCCTCAGGGGCCAGATTTTACCTCAATCCTTCTGATCTTTGCTTCCCCAGTAGCTGGTATTAAACGTGTGAATCACTGATTCTGGGTGCAAGAATCTTTTTAAAACCCTGGCAGTTTACTCTTCCACCGGCTCTCCATCCATCTGCCTGCCATCAACCGTTCTATCTGTGTCGTCTTTCCCCTTACCTCGGAGCCCTATCCTTGTCCCCTTCTTCAGGGCAAGACCTGTCTAGGTGCTTAGTACATGTACGCATGCTCAGACCACCCTGCCACTTCTCCCCTATACTAAAACTCTGCTTCTAGTATTCATATTTATAAACATTGAGTCTATGACGCTCCTACTAAGTTGGCGACCTTTATTCATCATTTAATTTACAGAACTAAACCTTTAAAGTGACGTTTAAAAGGCCCAGTGACCGGGGATGGTGGTGTGGTAAGGATCGGATCCTTCTGCTTCCTTTCCCTCTCCCATGGGCCTCCTGCATCAACGTGCTCTGATGTCAGCAAGAGGCGTCACAGAGGGTGGAAAGCAGAACTGCTGCAGACTTCTACTCTGGGGTCCCCTGGCTGGCACCACGCGTGCTGAGCAGGACGGCTTCTTCCCAGAACCAGAGGATGAGTTACTGGCTCTTCTGGCAAGCCAGTGAGATCAGAAACTGGCTAAACGTGGACAGCAGATTCACACACATCATTACTTTTAAGTGAAAACTGCCGACATTGGGGTCTGTGCCCATGATGCTTGGCTAAGGCTGAGAGAAGGCCACTGGGACTGCTCGAGCCCTTTCCCCACCCACCAGAGTGTTCTTGAGTCCCTTACCCACCCACTCTTGCTCGCTGCACATACCCTAAAGTCTCCAGTCACAGAGACGGCCATTTCAGAGGTGAGTGGCATGTTTGCCTTCTTTATTCCTTATTGAAGGGAGTTTCATTAAGCACTGGGAGGACTGTGTACCATCGCGTCAAACAGAAACAAGCAAACCCACAGGAATGCTGAGCAGGAACCCCCAATTCGGGAATTCAGACTTCAACACACAGAGGCATTTACGTCTCACCAGGAATTTAAATAGGAGAAATCTTGGCACTACTTCTCTGACGTTAAGATTACGTGGCAGGCAGTCTTTAAGAGGTGACTAAGTATACTTGCCTTTCAAGGAGACAGTCATAAGACCCAGCACCTTTAGGGACAGCTTTTTTGGGGTGGGGGAGGGGAAAGAAGTGTTCACCTCCTGTCAGTAACGCTTAGCTAAGGTAGGTTTCCAAACTCGCCTCCCTTGCAGTTTCCTAGCAAGGTCTGATCCCTTGAAAGGAAGGGCCGTACCTTTTCTCCGTAGCCTCTGTCTTTGGTCATCATTTCTCTGAGGGTCTGTAAGACTTTAATACAAAGTTTTTCTTCATTTTCCTCTAGCAGCTGCTTAGTATGCTTTATTAATCTGAATGGGAGAAAAACCACAGATTACAACCTGAAACACTCCTTCAATTAAAGACACTTCACAAGCAACTTATTGTAACTCGTTAGTCCGTTAAAGAACAAATATTTATTAAGGGCTCCAAAGTTAAACACACAGCCGGGCATTCAGCGTACTAAGGGCCTGTTGGTAACTGCGTCTCAACAGCGACATCTGCTGGTCAGGAACAGCCCACAGGCTTCCAGGGCAGGAGCTTGCCACCACTGCTCATAGTGCTGAGATTATACAGGAGAGAGCGAGCAGACAGAAGTCCCCTCATGAAGCATGGCTATTCATCTACTGAGGATTGCTACTAAAATATGCCAATGCTGTATTTAAAAAAAAAAACACCTCAGCAGGGCACAATATTCCCTTCTCCACAGACTTGTCTTTAGAGAGGCCCAGAAAAGAGATATATAGGAGGAAGAAAAAGAGGAGGAAAAAAAAATTTAGTCCAGAGTTTTGAGGGCTAGAGGGTCCTCTACCCCAGCACATGGTGGGTGCTCTGTCAACAGCCACTGAATGAAAATAAAATAGATGGATATGCATGCAATAATTTTTTTTAAAAAAAACCTCTCATTTAAAAAAAAGAGAGAGAGTGCTTGCCTAGCAAGCATGAAGCCCTGGGTTCTATTCCTCAGTACCACAAAAACAGAAAAAGCTGGAAGTGGTGCTGTGGCTCAAGTGGCAGAGCTCTAGCCTTAAGCAAAAAGAAGCTCAGGGACAGTGCCCCGGCCCTGAGTTCAAGCCCCAGGACTGGCAAAAAACACACTCAAACAACAACAACAACAACCCCCCCCCCCCAAAAAAAAAGTGTCAGTAAGATCAGACAGACTTCCTCTGGGAAGGTCAGCCTAGGGCTCATGGCATAACTCTGCATTTCTCAAAGTTCAATATCTCCTCCGAGAACAAAGGGTTTGTGTCCGGTCATCAAGGTTCGGGCTGCTGGCCACCTGGAGGGAGAAGGCCACGTACTTGCAAATGAAGCCGCCACTTTCACATTTCCTTCTGGCATCTGTGTTCTCGGGGAAAAGCAGCTCGGGTCTGTGCAGGACGTCCACCAGCACAGATAACTCGGCCTGGACCAGGGGCCTTAGGCGGTCCTCCAGCGCGGAGACGATGTCCTGGAATGGGAGCATGCCTTGGTCAAGAGCTCAGAGGGGGACTGATTTCTCCCTAAAATAGATGCACAGACTAGGCTGCGTTAAGAGTAACTTTAGTACTGTATAGTGTTTATCTCAAATGATGAGAAGCATTGCTTCCTAATGCAGAAAACAAAGCACAAACCAATCAGCACTCCCCACCCCGTCCTCTGACACAGTTTTATGCTAGTCAAGGGATCATCCCACAGATTTAAAAATATGATGCAAACATGTATTTAACAACATGGAAAGATGTCCGTGAGCTTCAAAATGGTCAGACAACAGTATGGAGTCTATGACGCTGTTCATAATTTATAAACAGTATCTATTATCTAAAAGATACATACCAAACACTATTAAAACATCACTACTGGTTTTCTCTGCGTGGTAGATTACAGGTGACTCTAATCTTCTTCTATATAGTCATACTTGCCAGTGTTGTCTAGTTATTTTCAATGAGCATGATTTTTTTATAGTATAAAGTCATATAAACATGAGAACACAAATGAATGAACATGCTGTATCAACATGCTAAATACATGTACCCTGATAGCATGATGGTCTTCAAATGCAAAACATATAGCTGTAGGAAAGGAAAACAGAGAGAAGTTGAAAGAGCAGCAAAACCAACACAACAAACACCATTTAAAGGCAAATGATAGAAAACAGATGAGAAATTATCTTCAAAAGATGCTACAACCTGCTTTCAGGCTTGCTGACTCAGAGCTGAACTAGCATGCGGGGCGGTGGGGTGGGGGTGGGGGGAGAGGGGGATGGGAACCGGTGTTGGTGGTCCAGGAGGGCCTAGCTAGCCAAAGAGATTCACCCTGGAAAATGTACTTAAACTGTACCCATTTTGATTGTAGACCCCACTAGTGTTTAGAAAGAACTGCTGTACCTTTTATCTAGAAGCTAAAATGAAGAAGATAGCTTTGTCTAATATTTAATAAAGTTTGGATAATTTCAATAGCTCAAGTAATGTTTAGGGCAGATAAAGAATGAATGAATCACATCATTTCTTTTTTCTGGGAGGGGGGAGGTTCCAACAAGATTTAAGAAAGTAGACTAATGTTCCTTAACTCACATGCCTTCCAAAAACAAAAAGAGGGTCATTTTTGCAAATTTCTCTGACGTCTTACCAGTTTCCTGAACAGCATCCCCTTTGAGAAAACTGTTCTTTCTCCCCTTTTTCTTTACTAGCTACTGATCCTAACTGGCAAATCTCTGATGGGCACCAGCACGGGGTAGAAGTTGTTCTTTAATGTAACATTCATGTTTTTCATGAAATCTTGCATCTTTTGCCAAGTCCGAATGTTACATTGCAATTCACTTGCATTGTATTGTCAAATGTATGACGGTCAGCACTCGGGAAGAACAACAAAGATGGCGAAGCAGTGGACGGGGAAGACACTAATGTTAAGGGAGCAGCACGTGTCTCAACAGGAAATCATTTATCACAACAAGTGAATGTTTGGATATTATGACCCACGTGCTCCTACAAGGAGATCTTAAAACGACAGGCACTCACACAATGCATAACTGGAGAGTAAAGTCCTTTGAGCATGACAAAGTCTTTAGAACAAGAATGACCTCATTGTGTAATGTATTTCATCTCCTAAGAACGTGCAACTTAAGTCTAACTAGAGCCCAAGAAATTGGTGTCTTTGACTACAGACCATTGATGTGGACTGGGGAGTCAAGCAAATGCTGTGCGTCCATGAAATCCTGAGTTATTCCTAGCCTTACCAAAAGGGGGGGGGGGGGAGATTTAGGGATTAAGTGACACTCGCTGAAGATTTTGTTTTATCAAGGTAAAGGCAAATCATTCTTCACTTGCCCCTCTGAACCCCAGTACTCCTGTCTGGCCTCCTGTTGTCTTTGAATACCACAGTTGTATACAAAGATGGTTTTCCCATCCTTTGGGTCTTTAAGGCCTAGTGTTCTGACCCTAGTTGAAAAGTTGCTTTCTCGTGGTCTCGCAGGCCCTCGCCCCTGCCCTGGCCGGGGCCGGCTCCTCATCAGTCTCCCAGGCGCCCACCTGTGCTCCATGCAGGGGAGGCTGGCTCGCCCCTCTGCTGCCCTTTGTCTTCTGCACTTTACACTCCCCCAGGCCACTGGCTGATTACTGTCTACCTCTTGGCCCAAACCCGAGCCTCTGTGAAGGGGAAGATCATTTCTGGGTTCGGGCGCCATTGTGTACTCCCTGTCTGGTATGGGGGCGGATGAAGGAATCGGCGAGCTCATTGGTCTGTAAGTAAGTTATGGCTGCTCCGGGATTCGGATACTTCACTTTCATTCAGAGTAGTAATTACTGCCGTCACCGCTGACAACAGACGGAGTGCTTGTGACAGCAGTTCGGTGGAGCGCTCACACACGGCGAGCGGTGGCTCTGCACGTTACAGACCCTGCATTTTCCCACGGAGGCCCCTCGGTGCGTCCTAGCCCACGCTCTGTTCTCTGTCCCTTCCATCGAACGCAGCCCCTCTCTTGAAACTGAGCAGACTGGAAACTGCCTTGGCCTACAGAGCACAGCGGAGCGATGCTTCGTGACTTCTGCCAGCCAGCTGATAAAAGGGCACGGCCCTCACTTGGCTTTCTCTAGAAACGCTTATCCTGGGCCTCAGGTGCACTGCGGCGAGGAAGCCCAGGCTACTCGGGGATGCTCCGTGCAGATGATTCAGTCGCCACAGCAACAGCTGAGGGCGCAGGTGACAGCAACTATCAGACCTATGACAAGCAGTCAAGGGGAGTCCGACCAAAGCCAGACACCACCTCAAGAAGACCAGAGCGAGACACACTGCCGGGCCTCACTGGGTGTGGAACAGTGGAAGAACAGAGTGACACCTGCTTCCTGAGACACAGACCACCAGACATGCCAGCGACATGCCACAGCCCCGGGGGAGGAGATGCTCCTATCCCGTTTTCTCAGCAGTGAAACTGAGGCACAGAGAACTTTCCCAGCGCTATACCACATCTCAGCAGCAGAGCCCAACTGTGAACCCAGGCTCTGGCTTGAACTCTCAAGGAGAACAGATCTGTCAGTCCTCACGTGGCGGGGTGGGGGGAGATCACAGTCTAGCTAGACTTGAATAATATATTTAGTTCTGTTTGGCTCGTTCTGAAATAAATTAATTTTTCCCAAGGGAGCACCACGCTTGTTCATCTGCTGGCGTAAGAGGCAAACTATTCCTGAGTGGTAGAGAAAGGAGACCTTAGGATCTGGCTTTAAGTATCCTCTGTAAGATGTATATAACCTTTCCTACTAAGAGGAAGAGCACCTGCTCTTGACAACAGAATCTGTCCATCTCTAATTCCAAAAGACCATGCGTTTGTCAGGAACTCAGATCCTCCTAAGTGGTCTTCTACCCTGGGCCCCGAGAATGAACACAGCTGTTCATTCTCCACTGACACCTCCCAGCAGCCAAGCTCAATGCTCCCTGACTTGGGGAAGCTCAGCTGTGCCCAGGGGCAACGCCACTTCTGTCAGCAGTGGGCATTACCTGCAATCTCTCGATGATATTCCGGTAGTCCCGGGAAGCTGCTAGAACGGAGTCTCTTCGGGCAGCGTTGCGGGCTGACAGCCTCCAGTTCATGGCGGTTTTCTGCACAATGTTGTGGGACTTCAGGAACAGGTTGTTCACTTGGCTGTCCAGGTCCACAGGAATGGCAATGGCCCGGCTCTTGGCTGCACAGGGAACAGATGTGTCATGAGCCTGTAACCTCTGCAGATGTCCGAGGGACAGTCTTACCTCCCCATCACCCGTGAGGCCTATTTCTCCATGTCTGTCACCTGTCAGCTTGTATGGAACCAAGTGTGAAGATCTAGGAACTGGACTCGACTTTACCATCTTTTACAGGTAGGGCTTCCCAAGGTGAATTCTAGGGCAGTGGCTCCAAAGCACATTAAAATGCTCTTGGGTAATGAAAAGCTTGGGTAAATCAGACAGAGCTTTATATGTTATCTCGATGAATGGCTCCTCGGCCATCCTGAAGTGTGCATGTATTTATCAAGACAGGAAACATATTTAGACAGTGTGAATTGTTTCTCTTAAAAAGCCTTGAGTTTGTCATTCTGTAAAATAACCCACGAAACGTTGAGTTAGGCACAGACTTCACACCGGTCAGCATTTACAATGATTTGCTACTCTTTCTATAGAGGTGCTCCCTCTTCAAAAAGAGTCACTAGGTCACTCCAGATGGAGAAAACCACACGCGAGAACCAGCTGAGAGATATAGGGCCAGCACCTGTTAATGTACCAAGGTCATAAGGAACAAGGAGAGACTGAGAAACAGCCAAGGAAGCGCAGAGGAGACAGGACACTGGGGAGCAATGGGGTGCCTGGGGCGGGATCCTGGCACAGAGAAAGTCCGTTCGTGGAAAACGGTGAAATCCAGCCGAGTGTGAGGTTGAGTTAACAGCAGTGTGCCCACGTTGGTTTCCTAGTCTTAACAAGATGCTAGTCCTGTTACACTGAGTTTTAGTGCAACATGTTGGCAATGGAGGAACCTACACGTGCAGAACTCCACGTGCAATTTCTGCAATTTAAAAAAAATAAATCTAAACGTATTTCCAAATCCAAAGCTGGTTTAAAAAAAAGAAAGCTAAGATGAATGATTCTTGTTTCTATATGGGGGGAAAACACATAAAAAACCCAACACAATCATTTCCTGTCTTCCCTGCTTTGAAACTCAAGAAGCTTAAAAAAAATGTCTATTCCCTGAATCTAACTGTAAACACAGCTCTAGCATCCTCCAAGATGCACTCGACAGGCCAACATTTAAATCTCAACAACAAAATACATGACTTAGGGGGAAAAAATCAGACAGCCAATCATTTCCTAACTTTTTTTTTGGGGGGGGGGTCCGGTCATGGGGTCTGTACTCTGGGCCTGAACGCTGTCCCTCAGCTCTTCAGCTCAAGGCTAGTGCTCTACCACTTGAGCCACAGCGCCACTTCTAGCTTCTTTTGGCTTATGTGGTGCTGAGGAATCGAACCCAGGGCCTCATGCATGCAAGGCAAGCGCTCTACCACTGAGCCACCTTCCCAGCCCCATTTCCTAACATTTTTAATGTAGAAAGTGAGCAATGTGGAAGACAGACAGAAATAATGAGAAAGCAGGCTACATGGGACCCACTCATCACATGCCTGGGCACTTCCATGTCAAATAAACAATGCAGACATGGCCTTTAGGCGTGGCTTTAGTCAGGAGAGGGCCATTCTCAAGGGGCACAAGTTCTAGAACTTTGTGGTGTGGCTGTTTTTGTGCCATTTCATAAGTATCAACTCTGTCTTTTCTCATCACTACTGAGACTACTGAATCATTTCACCTCTCCAATGTGGTGAGCTACTCATCAGTGGCTTGCTCCAGTTCTAACGGGCTAAATGCCTGGCGCAAGGACTCATGCATTCCACTTGGCTTCAAAAAACACACTCTCTATCTCAGACAATCGTATCTGGGGAAAGTGGAAGATGGATTATCTGAGATTTTTCCCTAAAGTCTCTGTGCGTGAGAGCTCACATAATGAAATGGTAGTAGACATACTTTCAAAAAGCTCGCAGCTCATGGTTCAAAGGCAATCTAGGTAGGAAAGTTTCTGAGACTCTTATTTCCAATTAACCACCAAAATGTCAGAAGTGGCACTGTGGTTCAAGTGGTAGAGTGCTAGTCTTGCACACAAAAGCTCTGGGACAGTGCCCAGGCCCTAATTTTTTACTGTGAACCACTGCCACATAAATATAGAACCGGAAACAATACCCACCACATGACAGTATAGCAAATCAGGCAGAGACTCTGCAACCAGGCTGCTAAGGTCTGTGTTAACACAATCTACACGAGCTAGACAGCCACTAAGCAGCGCTAAGAGCCACACATGCCTTCATCCTCCAGCTACTCTGCAGGGAACGAAGGAGCTACTTGACACAGATGACCCTTCTCCACTTGGGACAGGAAGTTAGCCCTTTTGTACAGCACTTCTAGAAGGTGGGGAATGGGTAAAGGAATGGAGCCTGGCTGGGAAGATGGCTCAGTGGTAGAGCGCTTGCCTCGCATGCCTGAGGCCCTGGGTTCGATTCCTCAGCACCACATAAGCAAAAAGAAAAAAGCCAGAAGTAGAACCGTGGCTCAAGTGGTAGAGCGCTAGCCTTGAGCTGAAGAGCTGAGGGACAGCACCCCAGGCCCAGAGTTCAGGCCCCACGACTGACCAAAAAAAAA